TTTAATCTTATCCTTAGCCAAGCAATCATTAAATTAAGCACCTTGTAAAGACAATACCTAAGAGGCTTAGGGCAGAGCGTCCTGGCCTGGGTATGGCTACTGCATCCACAGCTGCTTCTGTGCCTTGAGTTTAAATGTATAGTAACATTTCCCCACCCCCCACTTCCCCCACCCCCCCAAAAAAGGCTACTATGGTCCTGGACCCCTCTGCTGTTCCTAGGTGAATGCTTCTTGGTTACCAAATGTTATCATTCCTGTGGGACTTCATTATGCAGGTGTTTCTCCCCCTAGTGGAATCTTGAACAGGAGTTACTACTCTCTCATAATTGTTAGAGATCTGGCAACTAAGTTTAGAATGTGAATTGCAACACCCTGGCTAAATTCACTCTTGACAATTGTGTTATATTTCACACCATCATCTTGTCTGTGTCAAAGACTGTTTTAAATAGCGTGTTATTCCTGTATGGAGACGTGTAACTGCTGCTTGCATTAGCAGTTGTGAAGTACAGCATATGTATTTTTCCCAGGTGTTGTTGACATTTGTTTTTCTCTCTGTAAGGAGAAGATTCCTGGGCAAGGAGAGTGTCCTGTATGAAATGGCCTTCATGCCCTCTTCACACCATCTATTTTCTCACCCAGATTCAACATAACTATTAGAAAACATGGCATCAACATTGGTTACCCCTTCAGAAGAAAGCAAAATAGAAATGAATGTCCTTTTGACAGAGGAGGCTAGATGTTTATAAGATGGCTTCTACTTAACAGTAATTCAATTTCTGGTTAATTTGATTTCACTCAGTATAATTAGATAAATCCATTAGAGCCAGATTGCCTCTCTTACAAGTAACACAATGATCCTCCCTTTTACGATCATGGGCTGAATTTAAGCCTACGATAGGTAGATAAGAGTTGTGCACTAAGAAAGAATAATTGATGGACTGGCACTCCCCAGTGGACAGTCTCTATATCAACTGCTGATAAAATGGGTAGTACTGAATTAAGAGCCTTCTTAGCTCAGACCACAGCATTTTCTCCATGAATTTATTTAAAGGTCCTTAATAAGCCATCTAGACCCGAGGCGATCCACACAACATTTTGTGTTGTGCTATCTGTTCGCTTCTTATCCCATGAATTAATGACACCCAGAATCTTAGAATGATAGAATAATTCTATATAATAAAAGGTTCTAGAATTAACAGCTCTGCTCCAGTATTGCAAAGTCAAAACTTCGACTTACTTTATTGGTTGAAATCTAGTAGCAAGTTGAAAATATATTAGGTCTACTGAACCAATAGAACTTACATAGGTATTGACTCACCAAATCCTACTGCTTCAATGGGCCTACTCTAGTTGTGACTTACTGATGGATTTTAACCAGTATGTCTCATATTTAGTTTTCCTTCTTTCTTGCTGCTCAGCTTTTCTCATTACTGCATTTTCTTTTTAAAGGAATCTTATATTCTCATGGTATGCCCAAAATATCCAGCTCAATCATTTTTACCTCCAGAGAGAACTCATACAGTTTTTGCTTTTATCTAACACCTTTGCCTTTCTCACAGTCTACGATACCCTTAAGTTTATTTCCAATACCAAATTTTTGATTGGTCAAATTTTGTCCTGTCAGTTTTCTTCATTGTCCACTTTCACTGCTGTATATTAAAAAAAACATCAGTACCATGATGTTTAAGACAAGGTACAGAAAATCTTTATTTAATTTCTTCATTGTTAACATTAAAATTATGCAATTCTTCTGTGATCTTTATATTAATCTTCTTAATGTTCAACTGTAATCCTGCATTTGTATATCCTTTTTAAAAACTGCCCTGTTGTCACTGCCCCATTCTGCCAGTAGTAATACATTGTTATCTGTACATCTTAAATTATTAATATTTCTTCTGCTTGTTTTCACTTGTCCTTTAAATGCATCCAGTCTGCTTTTTGTATGATCTGCATAAAAATAAATAGAAAGGGATATAAATGTGTTGTCTTCACATTTGCCAAAGGAAAACCATTCTCCATATTCTGTCCCAACAGAAGCCTTTTGTCCAGAGTACATAAATATTGCAGCACCCTTTTCTTTTCATGATCCATATATTCAAAGGCTATGCTGTAATACATAAAGCACAGGCTGATTTTCTTCTGAACTCCTTTTGTTTACTCCAGCAGCTGGTGTATATTTGTAATATGATTTCTAGTACCTCTTCCTTTTTCTGAATCTAGCTTGAACATCTGGACCTGGAACATCTGGAGCATTGAATTGAAGTGGTTTATCATTTCCTCTTGGGGGTCACTCTAAGAACCTGTAGCTTGCCCAAGACAACACATACTGTCTCTTCCTACAAGGCACAGTGGAGAATTGAATACTTAACCAGTGCTCTACATTCCTGATATATCCAGCCAGCTAATGTTTTGTTACATCTTTCATTAATATGCATGTGTATGTGGGGAGGCGGTCTTACATTGTGAATTTGTGAATTTTCTTTTTGTGGACTTTTATCAGCCAGCAGATTATCCTGACCTTACTTTGTGCATTTGCTTTAATACATCTGTTTGTTAAAAAAAGGAAGTGTGTCATGGGTTGTAAAAAAGATAACAGCACAAACAGAAATGCAAACATTTAATAGGCAGACTTATGAAAGATCAAAGCATGAGGCCACTGAATAACAAAATAATTACTCTGCTTCTGTATATTAACCTGCTGGTGTTTACATTCCCTGGACAGGGTTTCTCTCCACATTGGGCACAGGAGTTCTTTATTTTAAATAACAATCAACTTCCCATCCTGAAACCATGCACCTTCTAGACCATGGGAGAGCAATTAACTACAGTTTATTTAGAATTCATTAGCTGGGGTTGTGAGCTTACAGACTAGAAATACTGTTCAAATCTCATCAGCTTGTCCTGTGACTGCCACTGATAGTGTTGAGATCTTGATCCAAAGCTAGCAAGCCATGTTAACAAAGGTTGGCAAAGATCGTCACTGAAAAGGCAGTAATAAAAGATTGCTTTTGTCAGTAAAAAGTTGTTCTAATGGAAGGTTGAAAGAATGCAACATTCGTTTGGAGAAAGTGTTAAGAATGATATGCTAAAGCTGCTTCATGTTTTATGAATGGAACAGAGTAGATACTCTGTTCCATATTCATATACAGCACTGTGTATCTTGTAGCCATTCCTGCCCATTTAACCTGGGAAAGATTCCTGAGAAATCAAATGATCCTTAAGTAGGATCCAAAATGCAAAAGAAAAAAAAGAGGGAAAAAAGAAAAAGAAATCATAGCTTTCTAGGGTGTCTAATATGAAGCTCGCAGGAATGAAGATGGCATTTAAAAAAAATCATTCTGGTGATGCTGTTATTTTTTGCAAGAGCTTGCATTCAGTGACATGTCAAGAGATACCCCAGAGGTTTGGCGTTCCTTTCTTGGGAGTGAACTGGAATCATGGCTTCAATTCAGCTCCTTGTGCATATAGCCAATGTCAGTAATTGATGACAGTGCTGACCAACTGTGGGAGAAAATAAAAATTAGCCACTTGTCCTTCCAGAGCAGCTGTTTTGCACCCTCACTCAGTTCCTCCTCCCCACTCACACTTATGTACTAGACCAGGTGAGAAATTCCATATTCAGCATCTTGTATCTTGTAGCCATTCTTGCCCACGTAATAGTAGCCTTTTTGCAAGGTGGATAGGATTTTACAGATCTGAGTCTGTATCATAAGGCAAACCTTTTGGAATGTACAGATAACTGCTCCTCTTATGATGAGTCTATTAGAAGAATTAGTTCCACAGTTAGTGAACAGCTCCTGAAAATGGCACACAAATGAGAAAATAGAGAGATCTTGGGGAATATCTGCACATGAACCTTCTTCAGGATTTCACCACATAAAGTATGGGAAGCAGCACTTCTTTGCATATCCTCACAGTTCATTCTCCTGCATGTATGGTACCACTTGGTATTCTTCTTCACATGTGTTAAATGAATAGGTAGAATGAGTACCATGTGGTGCACTATTAGTGACTTAGAACTGTTTTTTTTTCAACTTGACACTTCAGATATTTTACACCACAATATCCATCATTTGTAACCTTTTGTCATGCTGGCTGGGGCTAAAGGGGATTGAAATCCAAGACAGCTAGTAAACACTAGATTGAGGAAGATTAAACACAGGATTTCAAGGAATAAGTATGGTTCTGCGTGAGGGGGAAGTTATATTTTTAAAAGACTTGTGGTAATTAAAACCACCAAACTTCCTAAAAAGGTAACAGGGAGCAAAGTACTTTAAAGCTGGACACTTGACCCAAAAGATGCATTAAGAAGGAAATCTTATTCAAATCTTTGTACTGTGAATTACTTGTACAGCATCATTGGTGACAATATGATCTGGATTCTAAACTGGCTAGAATGAATGGCTAGTGATAAATCACTTTTGAGTGCTGCTTCTGGGTGTCCATTATACTTTATAAATAGAGATCTTTTTCTTGTTCCAGAGAGTATATTAGATGGTAGGAAAGTGCTCTAGTGGGAAGAAGATGTATGTGTATGATGTGGGTGGATAAAATTTGGATGTGCATTGCACTTGATGATGCATAATTTAAAACAGTAGCTGAAAATCTTTTCTGTAATATAAGCAAATTCATATGCTTTGGTCTCTACCTCACTGGTAAATAGAAACCACCACCATGCAATTCGTGGGGGTGTGTACGCACACACTCTGATTTACATTGTGCAACAGGATTTTTCCAAATGTGTAGCTTTGCAGAAAAAAAATTCAAACACAGATATAGTAGCTTAGAGAAGGATCTCCGAGGGCAAAACTGATTAACTCTTCTAGGAGAGCAGAAAATGTTGACACGGAAAATGGATGGTGGAGTCCTTTGCCACTTTATACACTTCTAGATAGTATCCATTAGAGATGTAGAAGACTTCTTCAGGAGTAAAAAAATATTTCCTGCTGCAGATTGTTCATGATACCCCTTGAACAATCTCTTGTTTTTTTTTTTTTCAGATTATAGTTTCCCACTTGGCTCCCAGAAGGCCTTGCCTAAAGGAAATGGGACAAAGATAGAAGACCTCCATGAAGTGCCCTCTTTCCATCCATCACTGGATTCCATTGAACCTGACTCTGAAACACCTTCCACCAGTGTCCTTGAGGAAGAGGAAGGATTACTTCCTATAAATCAGTCCAAGGGAGCTTCTCAGAGCAGCCCAAAGCCCAAAGTAACTTTTCCTGAAGCACCCAGGCAGGATTCATTGTACTCTATCCTTTTCTCTACAACAGCCAGCAGAATGGGCCCAGTAGCAGAGGTGGCTACAGCTAGACAGGAGGAAGAACCCACTCCTGAACATGTTTCCTCAGGCTTTGACCTAGGTAGCAGCATGGGCCCCAGTCTCTTGCCTCTGTCCTCCATTTTGTCAGCCACTCCTAAAGGATCTCAGCTTGTCTCAGAAATTTCCCCCAGTATGACTTCAGAAAGTGCAGTGGGAGCAGGAGAGGAGCTGATGAAGACCACGACGACAACAGCTACAGTGAGAGGTGATGTAAGTGAAGCGGAGACCACAGTAAGTAAGGAGAATCAAAAGCCCACAGAAGGAGGAGGAATGGGACAAGAAGGGACGATGGTTAAAGAGGCCACTGAAGTGGCTGAAACAGAACAAGAGGGAGAATATCTTCTTACAACAGGAATTCATGGGAATGGCACTCAAGCTACTGAGACGGTTACCAGGACTGCTAGCAGTCCATCAAAGCCAAGCTCACCAGTCGATTTCTGGGCCTGGACTGATAAGCCAATACCTACCCCTATTTCCACAGAGAATGTTACCAAGCTGCCAGTCACAGCAGCCACTGCAGGAGAACGGGGCTTTGTACCACGAACAGATGTTCGCATGGCTGTATTGTCCACAGGAGTCCCCTGGAGTTTGACACAGGTAAGAATAACAATGAATATTTTTATCTGTGTGATTGGGGTTGGCTTATAAATTAGCTTTCAGTCCCACTCTAGTTCCTGCCTTATTGTACATATTTTGGCAATCCAAAGCATGAGGTCATATGCCTAAGTATGTCTGGCAATCTCCAAAAATTAGTTCAGAAACAGAGCTGTGCTGACCAAGCATTCTGGGAGCACAGTGCTCCCATGCTGCAGTGCTTTAAACAAATCATTTCATTGCTGCATGACATCAACCCAAGAGAAGATTTATACTGTATAACCAATAGTGATGGCTGTTGACAATCACCTGTTTTCATTTCTTGGGATATGAACATTGCCAAAAAAAACTGTGTTCAGCATTATTCGTCACATATGGCAGGAAAGGGGAACCATTTTTGGGCCAAAGACTGATTTGGTTCTAGATCCCACGGGACCCCATGTCACACACCCATGCTTCTGGACAAGACTTTCTTTCTTTGGTTGTTGTAGGTTTTTCAGGCTGTCTGGCCATGTTCTTGAGGTTTTTCTTCCCAACGTTTCACCAGTCTCTGTGGCTGGTATCTTCAGAGGACAGGAGTCTGTGCTCTGGCACAGTTTGTGGGATAGCTGAGTATTTGTAGCTGTGGGATCAGCTTTTTGTCCTTTTCAGGAGATTGGGTGATTATGGTGCTCAGCATGTTTTTTGTTCTGCATGTATTGTTGTGATAAGGGGGAGAGATGATCTGTCACTGTGATTGATGGGTGTCGTTAAGCTTAAACTTTCTTTCTTCAGTTGTTGTGGGTTTTCTGGGCTGTTTGGCCATGTTCTTAAGGTTTTTCTTCCTAACGTTTTGCCTGTCTCTGTGGCTGGCATCTTCAGAGGACAGGAGTCAGAACTCTGTGCTCTGTTCTGGAGTTCTGACTACTGTCCTCTGAAGATGCCAGCCATGAAAGCTTTTGAGAATTACCTGTATTACTACTTGGGTTAAAAGCAAAACAAAACAAAACAAACAAACAAACAAAAACCTTCATTGGCCAGATCCATTGACTCCAGTCTCTGAGGTAAAGGAAAATTGGCAGATTGCATGGAGAGTGCTGCTGGATTGTGTTAGGATTGCAGATTAAATCTGTCCTTTTCCTGACTCATGATATAAGTGTTGGTTCTGTCTCAAAGCTAAATTGTAGGATACCTACTGTGAGTTCTATAGTCCTAGCGATGTACATGCTGGTACCACATTGAACTTTCCTGAGCCCCAACAAAATAGTGGACCAGATGCAATGCTATGGCATTGAACAGAGAGGACAGCCCAGAGCTTACACTGTAAACATAGCACTCCAGTTCCTTACCTGTTTTTGAGTACATTTTGTATGCTTTTGAGTACATCTGGAATAATAGCGGTTTCTTTTTTAAGAATAAGGTGCATTTGTTCTCATTGCTTAGTTCATAATTTCATTTTGAGATCTTGTAACTCTGCTGTTAGTCGGATTATATAGCAAAGCCTTAAAAGGACCAATGTTCTGATTCAGGATGAGTCAGCTTCATGTGTGCATTACAGAAAAACATACACCTCTTCCCAAACTCTTTCCAGCTGAACTGTGTTGTTGTTTTCCTAGGTGACTTGTAAGGACTGGAGCAACCTTGCGGGCAAAAACTACATAATTCTGAACATGTCAGACAACATTGACTGTGTGAGTAGTTTTCCATTTTAAAATATATACCATGTTTCCCCGAAAATAAGACCTAACCTGAAAATAAGCCCTAGTATGATTTTTCAAGATGCTCATAATATAAGCCCTACCCCCAAAATAAGCCCCAGTTAAGGGAAACTCCACCCTTCATCACTGTGCAGCAACCAGAAGATGGCATGACTGTATTTGAATAAATATAGATTGTTGTACATGGGGCTCGTGAGGTGGGGCTCGTCAGCCATGGAAGGCAGCCCATCTAGGAGAAGGAAAACTCCGATTTCAAACTTCCACTGCCTTGTGGCTATATCCACTCATGGAAAAGGCTTCAGGAGTTAACCTCGAGGCAAAATCCGGAGCTGGAGTCCCGAAGGCAGCATGTGTCGTTCTGCCAACTCCTGCGACATTGCTGGAACCGGTTGTATTGGCTCTTGCCTTTCCATTGGATCATTTCAGCAATGTGGAGAGGGGGGATCTGCTGCTTGGGTAACAGCCTATCCTCCATATTACCTTACCCGGGCTTCATGCTCTGGAGAGGACACTCCTCGATTCAGAGCATGTTACCATAGTCTCTTGAGACTGAAGGATGCCTTTGCTACATGAAAAAAATAAAACATCCCTCGAAAATAAGCCCTAATGCATTTTTGAAGCAAAAAATAATATAAGACACTGTCTTATTTTCGGGGAAACAGGGTATATAATTTCTAAATAAATTCCTCCTCTCTTTTCTTAAAACAGAATCCAATCATCTTTAGGAATGATAAGCAATCAACTCATATCAATTTGAATTTTTTTAAAAAAATAATAATATTAGCATCTTGATTTGCTTTACAATGCAATACTCTGCTTATTCACTTGGATCTAGCCAGGAGGTGAGGCTGAGGAGCCTAACGCCGTGGGAGGCCCGGAAAGAAAAAACAAGAAACCGGGCCTTCTCGACAGTGGCTCCTCGTCTTTGGAATAGCCTCCATCCTGAGATACGCATGGCCCCCTTCACTGGGCATCTTTAAATGCCAATTGAAAACTTTGCTGTTTAAGCAAGTCTTCCCTCCACCCATCATCTGAATTTTTGTTATCTTGTGTTTTTCTCCCATCTTGGATCATTGTTTACTTAGTAATATATTGTTATGATGTTAAATTGTTATATGATATGTTGTTACCCGCCCAGAGTAGTCTATATGACTAGATAGGCGGGCTATAAATAAATAAATAAATAAATAAATAAATAAACAAACAAACAAACAAACAAACAAACAAACAAATAAATAAATAAATAAATAAATAAATAAATAAAAGTCAGTGAATTCAGTTAATGAGTAAGTGTGCATATGCAGTCTTACCCGTCTAAATGTCATCACGGCCAATATCCATGAAGAAGCTGGAAATATGAAGAATGAATTAGGTTTTTCAAAATCCATCTGGCTTACTAGATACAGTATTTTGTCTCTGAAACAGATGTTTGTAGTGAAGATTTGATATGTCATACAGTACCAGTGTTTTAGAATTCAGTTAATGAGTAAGTGTGCATATGCAGTCTTACCCGTCTAAATGTCATCACGGCCAATATCCATGAAGAAGCTGGAAATATGAAGAATGAATTAGGTTTTTCAAAATCCATCTGGCTTACTAGATACAGTATTTTGTCTCTGAAACAGATGTTTGTAGTGAAGATTTGATATGTCATACAGTACCAGTGTTTTAAAAAATTTATGTAAGAAGCAGTCCTGTGATTGTCCAGGTTTAAATAATACTCTAATGCAGTGGTTCTTAACCTTTGTTACTCGGATGCTTTTGAACTGCAACTCCCAGAAACCCCAGTCAGCACAGCTGGTGGTGAAGGTTTCTGGGAGTTGCGGTCCAAAACTCCTGAGTAACTCAAGGTTAAGAACCAGTGCTCTAATGGTGCCATCTGTGATATCTGTAAGCTGGGTTGAGAGAACAGAAATTCTGTTTCAATATTGCCATCACAGGCTTGTAAAACATGCCTGCCTGGGCATTATGCAGCTGGTAGTGCTTAATTATGACTGGCCACATGTTTGATTATTTTTTTTTACAATCTGTTTGGGCTCATTAACAGCTATTTCAGGAAAAGTTGGGGAAGAAATATGGCGATAAAACACTTCCCAAGTAGTACACATGTGTAACTTACATGAAGTTCTTCAAAATATTGAAGGAAAGACTGCACAATTATAAACTATTGTAAATTTTAATTCCATATTTTGTAGCTGCTCACAACACTGTCTGCTGAAATGTGCACCTAATACATAGTGACTGGCCGAACATCTATTAATATATAGTGACATTTTTAGCTTACACTTTTAAACAAAATATGCACCTCTTTCTGTGGAATGCCATTGCTAGACGTTTGAGGTACCTATTCCTGCCTTCTATCTATCCTGCCTTCCTTGAGACAGCTTTTTGACCATTTCTTCATTCATTCAAGTATTTCTAACCTATTCTGTGTCAACATATTCCAGGATTATACTTTTGTCTTTATAATATGTATTCCATCAGTAAATAGTTTGGGTTATAGGAATACTGTATACCACTCTTTATAGAAGTGTGCTGTTCTTCATCTCTATGTCATTTCCCCACCTCTTTGTCACAGAGTGAGGGGGAGAGAAATAGGGAATACTTCCTAACCACCAGTTAGAAAGTGTTCATACATAGATATTCAGGTAAAAGTTTTATAATATATTTAGTGGGCATGCAATTACTTTTATACTCATGACAAAGTTAACATGATGCTGTTAAATGTTAAAATTAAGACATAAGACATAAGACATAATCTGTTGAGTGAATTAATTTCCACTTCTATAGGTATGCACTTCGCATTGAACAGGACTAGAGTATTTAGAAGGATAAACCTTACATCAACACACACAGTATGAATGCGTGTCAAGCTGCTGGGCAACAGCGTGGTTGCCAGCTTTTGTGTTTAAACGTTCTGGTGCTTGTGTGAGATGCCTGGTCCAGTTCGGGCTGGTCCTAGAGGCCTAAGCTCAGTCAGTACCTAATGTTTCACATTAAGAATTTCACAGTAAGAATTCAGTTTATTTAAAGACAACAGGACTACATAAAGTTCAGAAAGGATTAAAAAAAACTAGCAGATTTCAAAAATCAGAAAAGCAAAGCTGTTGACTCAGATGACTGCCAGACCCAGGTGGGATATTCAAACAGCAAGCAGCCAACCACTAAAAATGTTACCTTAAAGGTTTCATTGCATCGTAAAGGTAGCAGCACCCAGAACAAGGATTTCAGGTCTTGGTCTCATTGGATGGGTCAATCAAAACTCAACAGCCGGCTAGGCTAAATGTGGGTGCATTCAGCTAAATGGATTGCTCTTTCATTGACCCCATGAAGACATAGAAGCTAGGACATGTACGTATACCCTATGGCTTTATCCCTGTTTTGGTATTGGCAAATTAAATGTTTATTTATTTATTTAAATATTTTTATCCTGCCTTTCTCCTTAAAGGCTTATGCTTTGGCTAGAGTTACCTAATTCTACACACCATACAGCTGCAATTAATATACTATATCACTTTGCTAAGATAGATTTTAATTGAAAAATAGGATGGAGAAATAATTCACCCCCTTCTCCTTCTTCTGGTATCCAAGGGAAAAGAGAGAAAATTATTGCTGTCTGGTCTGCTGGTAATAGAAATATTGAGATTTTTGGTCTTCAGGTTAAATAGTGTCCCTTCTTTTGTGTTGTTTACCCAGCCAGAAAACCACTATGTTATGGCAGACAGTGGGACAGATTAAGTAACTGCTGAATGAGAGAATATTCTGCTGTGTTTACAGTATGTTGTTTCTAAGAAGGGGCACACAAAGCTTAATGAGGCATAGCTAATAATTACAGAAACGGCAGAATAAATTAATTTTAATATATTCACACTTGCATATAGAAGGCATATTCATCTTTAAAAGTTGTTTCTGTCATTAAAGATGCTAGAAATAAGGGCACATGTTTTCCAGTGTGAGTAATTCAGAGTGTCAGCCTGCTGCCACTAAATCTTTCTTAAGTGCCTTTTTGCTGCCCTTTTATCTTGTTTACTGTTTAGTGTCTGTTAACCAGACACACTCCTCTAATCCATTACTCCACCATCAATCCCATAAAGCTGCAATTAATTGATGATCCAAAGTCTCTTTCCTGTTAGAGATCTCCAGTGACAAGAACATTAGATGAGCTTATAACAAACCTTCTATAGTAGTGGTATGGAAATTCTTACAAAAAGTTTTCTGTGAAAATAAGGTCAAACCTCTTTATAATATAAGAAAAATACATCTCTTGTGAAGAGGCTTTGGCTGGCCCTGATTTTAAACTGCTAGATAAAATGCAAATCTCTCACTGACATATCCTATACAGGTATATGTATTTTTCGCTCCATAAGACGCATCAATTTTTTTTAGAGAAGAAAACAGGGAAAAATTAATCTGTTTTCTCCTAAAAAATTGGTGAGCCTTATGGAGAGGTCCGTCTTATGGAACACACCCTAGCCCCCTCTGGCCCCATGGGGGGTGTGGGGAGCCTCCAAAGGGTCCCAGTGTGTGTTCCAGGACCCTTTGGAGGCTCCCCCTGCCCCCCCGCGGGGCCAGAGGGAGCGAAATCGCCACCTTCAGGGACTCTTCTGAAGCTTCCAAAGCCTCAAAAGAGTCCCAGAAGGTGGCAATTTCGCCTGCGCTGGCCCCGTGGGGGGTTGGGGGGAGCGTTGCAATGGTCCTGGAAGGCTCACTCGGACCCTTGCGATGCTCCCCCCACCCCTCCATGGGGCCAGCGTGGGTGAAATTGCCAGCTTCCATGACCTTTTGTGAGGCTTGAAAGGCTCAGAAAAGGTCCTGGAAGCTGGTGTTTTCGCCCCCGCTGGCTCCGTGGGGGGTGGGGGAGCGCCGCAAGGGTCCTGGAAGGCTTCACTTGGACCCTTGGGAGGCTCCCCCCCACAGGACCAGTGGGGGCGAAATTGCCACCTTCACTCCATAAGACGCACAGACTCCCCCCTTTTTTTGGTGGAAAAAGTGCATCTTATGGAGCAAAAAATATGATAAATAATCAAATCCATGGAGTGCTGATAGTTGTATAATCAAAATTGCTCCATCAACACACACAAGGGAAGGCATATCCAGCTTTGGGACAGAATAAATACACACACATATATATACATATATAGGGTAGTCCAGCATTCTTAACTGTCACACAATACTTGCTGTTAAAGAGGGAATAAAATGGAAGGCAAGGAATATGAAGAATGGAACAGTGTTATCCTGAAAGAAGACATAGTTTGCTGGCTGAATTTCTGAACAGGAAGACATAATGTTGCAACATTTCGTGACAGATCTTTTAAAAATTGTCAAAATGGAGTTGGTGATAATAATGTAAAGTAACTTAGTAGATCTAGTTAGTTATCATTAATTTCCTGTCACCAAATGTAGTTGAATAGTTATACACAGTCACTTATTTTCTACTTGTATCATCTTGTTTTAGGACAGCTCCTTATACTAGTTTTTGGTGTGTGTAAAAATATTGGGTCCGTGTGGTGGCAAGGAAGTCTAATTGGCTATTTGTATATCAACATGTATAAAAACATAAGGTCTTTTAATAATAAAGAATCTTTTTGACCATCTTTTATGGGGGAAAGGACTATTTTCCTGTCTGCCAGAATGCTTTTCCTCCACTTGTAGAATTCTGTGAGAAGTTAGTATGGTTGGAGGGAGAGTTCTATCAGTCATGTCTGTTCCAGTTGTGTGGTCCAGGGATTGTGCCCTGAGGTAGCCATAAAACCCGTCCTCTTTCCATTTCTCTTCTGCCAGGTTGCATCTCTTACTATGGCAATGCGAGTATTCATCATGCAGGGTCCCTAATCTTTGCCTCGTGAGACAAGGTGCTGATGGGCCTCTGAGATTCAGGACTGACTCCTCCTTGTCTTTCCCAGTTAGGCCTGTGTTTGCCCTGCGTGCTTGAGATTGCCATAGCAACCAGTGGTGCTAGCACATATTAATAATCTGGGTGGCCTTTAGGTTGGCACGGCAACTGAACAAGAATAGAAAGGCAGAAGCGGGAGAGGTGCTGCCAAGCGATGTGAATCACATCAAGTAGAATGGGGCCATCTCTGTTTGACCTGAAGTGTAAACAGAGTCACTGGAGCTCTTGGTTTTTTAAAAAATATTCCTTATTATTTGTGTCTTTCTCTTTCTCCAAGGAGCTCAGTGAGGATGTAGAAGGGATCCAGATAGCCTCTGACCAAAGTCATATTCATTCAGCATAAACATCAGGCACCTCGAAATCATTGTCCCTGTAGAACTGGACTGCCTTGTTGTGAAATAGAAACTGCAGGTTCAGGAAGGGATTGGTTAAAGTTATCTCTTTGCTGTTTCTCCCATTTCTAGAGATAGCAACCTTCTAACCTCTGGAGATTTGTCTGTTGTGTGCACTGGGCCCCTTGCTGAATTAGAGCAGAAACAAGAGAGCAATATAAGAGTTCTCTGTCAGAAAAGCAGATTAAATTTAGGTTTTGTACTTAAAAAGTCAACTAAAGCCAAACTGAGAAGATGTACCCAGTGAATAGAAAGGGATGGAATCCACACTATCCACACAGTAGAATTTTTCTTTCTTGTGGTAGTGTACTTCTTCTCACACAGCTATTATATTTCTAGTAGAAAATGAAAAAAAATGTAGCTAAGTAATTTCTGGTTAGAAACAAAATTCTAGGTAAATTAATATCTTTATTGGATCATTAAAATGCTGCAAATATGTGGAGCTTTTGAATTTTCCAGTATGCTTCTCACGCTTAGATAGTATAAAATTTGGTGGATTATGGAATCCATCAGAGATTCCTGTAGTTTCTTCTTTATAAGGGGATGAATTTGCAGGACATTTCAAAGGGAAAGATTTATTTGCTATTCTCAAAAATTATGAAATGACACTTGCCCATTTTGGTGTGAATGCCTTCTCTAACTAGAAAACCCAAACGCTTTGTATAGAAGTCCTATACTATGGGACCAAGTGGTATGCAGTTACATTTTTGATAAATGTGCCGTGTAAAATAATTGGTTGTGAACAGATAAAGCTGATTTTTGAAAAAGGCAGTAACTAGGCTAGATATATTCTATATGTAGAAATAATTTAAGGAAGCAAAAAAGAAGGTATTTTGAACAATAGAGTTGGAGGGAAGACAACAGGAATGGAGAAAGATGATAATTTTCAAAGTGCTTTCTGATATCTTTATGTTGTTTTCTTGAAAACCTATGCCTGCAGTCATTTTCTGCAACAGATGCATTTGGATGAAAAGGCATCTTTTTAAATGACAGAGACACGTTTTATTGTTCCAGGAGGAGTTCCGAGTAGAGAGGGGCCTCCAGTTGTTGGCATTGGTAGAGGATGCTTTCTCCAGGTATAAAAACGGCTTGCAGGGCCAGTGGTTGATTTCCCTAAGTAAACCCAATGAGAACGACAAACACCTGCTAATGACCTTGGCAGGAGAACACGGTAAGTTCTTCCAGAGATGCAAAAAGCTTACTTCTTTGTGCACGGGCAACTGAAAGGTCTCTTATCTTTTCATTTGATATCTCCAGTCATCAGGGATGACCCCTCTCATGCTATACACCATACTACCCTTCCATAATGAGCCATGCATCTACATATATCACTCATCACTCTGTTTCTATAGTATGCGTGTCAAGAGTGGGCAGTTATGGAGGTTCAGAGGCACATTTTCTAGCACTTTCTCCAAACTGGTGGTATTGTGGACTAAAGTAATTTCTGGCCCATTCATTGTTGAACTTTATGTAAAGGAGGCATAAAAAGCTATGAGGTATAAGATTTCTAGTTATCCATATTCTTTTTCTCATATTCTCCACAGTGGACAGGAAAATGCCATATTTCAGAAGAAAGCAATGAGAGAACTGATAAATGATTTTCTAGGTATTTAGTTTTAAAGACTCTAGTACAGGTGTTTCCCATCTGGAAAGAAGGCTGAGCTCATAAGCCTGCAGTCGTGTTGCGCATCATTTTCACTAGAATAGATAGATTTTTTAGGATTTCATGGAAACTTTTACAAGTAACGTATTGATATAAGATGTTAATGAAAGTACAGTGGTGCCTCGCTAGAGGATGTTAATCCGTTCCACTGAAATAGCTGTTTTGTGAAAACATCGTCTAGCAAAAAGTGTTTCCCCATTGGAATGCATTGAGACCCTATTAATGCGTTCCAATGGGGGGGAAATAGTAGTCATCCAGCGAAAATCGCCCATAGGGAAGCCATTTTGCAAAGTGCCTATCAGCTTTTTAAATACTGTTTTGCGAAGCATCGGTCCCAAAAACACCCGTTTTGTGAAGATCTCCCATAGGAAGCCATTTTGCAAAGCCGCTGATCAGCTGTAAAAATCATCGTCTTGCGAAAAACAGTCCGCGAAGCACGGACCAAATCATCTTCCAGCGAAATCCCCCATAGGAAAAGCCATTTTGCAAATCGCTATAGCGATCGCAAAAAGTCAACGTCTAGCCAAAAAACGTTTTGCGGGGTACTGTAATTGTCTTGCGAGGTACCACTGTACTGAGAATCCTCCCTCACTGTTCAGGAGCTATGTAATTATGCACACAACCTTGTTGCCTCCCACTTGGCCACTCCCACCAGCAGGGTCAGTGGAACTAATCTCTAACCTTCCTGTTATGTCTGAATCGGGACTGATTTTTCATTTTCATAACAGATTAGCAATATGCAACCAACTGCAAATCCTGGATTCAGACTGGTTCTATAGGGGAATGACAAACCAGCACTCTGGGTTTGGAGCTAATAGTAAACTTTGTTTCCTAATTAGTTTCTGGTTGGTTTAAGTGTTCCTGCTGGCAGGAAGAACAAAGCAGGGATGATTGTGTACAATCACTACACTGTTCTTAGTAATTGTGGCATAATGTCTGAACATAACCGTAGTGTGCAATAGATTCTGAGGTGGCAAATTTAATAGAAGTAAACCACTGCTGCATAGCTCTCCAAAACCCCACTGATTCAATGGGCCTACTCTAGTTGTGACTTTTTACTGGATTTCAGCCATAGAAACTTTGAAGGTCAGTTTTGAAATGAAAGAGACTGGGGATGGATTAATATTGTGAATTGCCTCTTTCCTTGATTTCTGAAGTTTTTTCCCACTGACCTCTACTTTCCTTTCACCCGTTGTAGATATTATAAAATGTGTATTTGTATTCTGCAACAAACACACTTGTCTGCAATGGAAGGGATCTTCCAAGCAACACTATATTCTAGAGGGAATACAAATAAAATAACACTTATTTCTTTTCATTTCATTTCTTAGGGGTTGTTCCAACAAATGATGTTCTCCTAGCATTAGGTGACATACGGAGGAGCTTAGCTGAGGTAAGACATTATTCAGTCATGCAGGCAGTGCAGTTGAATTCACACCACCTTGAAAATGTGTTCCATACATACTCTATTCTTGCTGGGCTCTGAGCCCAGAACAGGCAAATTGATGGCCCAGCACTTTATAGCCAAAACCCTTTCTTTCCTGTTTGGTAACTGTTGAGTCATCAAATGTCAATTTTAATTAGCGATGACTGATTCTGAGGATGATCTGTTTTCTTTTCTATTATAAAAGCTACTATTCTAGTCCCTTGGAATCCTATATGCTCTTGATGAAGAGCATGGAGAAATATAGAAAACATTTCTGTATCTATCACGACCACATCAGTTAAAACTTTCTGTGTGTGGTCCACAAACGCACAATGAACCTAAGTATTGCCCCTCCTTACCCCAAATAGAGTCTCCATGCCCTTTTGCTCACAGAAGCTGAGCTTTCCCACTTTGTGTTTGAGGAGTTCTTGTCATCTAGAAAGCGGCTCCTGTTTTTTTTCTAATCCTTTAGTGAAATGGGGGTGGGGGAAAGTAGCCTTACAATGCCCTTGGGCTTGTCTTGTACCCAATCACAACATATTGGCAAACAATGTGAAGTTCTATGGGACCGGAACTCCAGGTTACAAGAGCTCAGAAAGTGGCTGAGGGCCTGTCTCCAACACAACTTAGAACTTACCTCAGACACATTTCAGTGAATCACCTGCTCAGCCAGTCCAGCAAATATACTTGCCCCATGTCCTGCAGCGTCCTGTCACAGTATGTTACTCAGCAGTGCTAATTTGAATTGGACGGAACAGAAGCATTGAAGGGCAGGGTGTAGGACCTATGATGTTTACATATGAAAAATAATCATCTCCTTCCCCGCCATCTCTCTATAATTATGGCCCAAACACATAACAACACTAACCTCCTTCTATTACTGGAATCAGGTTACAGTTTCATTTTAAAAATAAAAGGGATTTATGACATGGGGAAGAAGGTCAAGGAACAAAAACATTAGTATTTATATTATAATAATCTATTGAGATTGATTCCACTATGACTGATACAAGATATTTTGATTTCAATGTAATTGGAATATGGCATGTTAAATTTTGTTGTAACATTTTTAACTTTTTCAATTTTATATATATATTCTGTAATTTTTGTAAGTTTGGGAGGTTTAATAATTTTTCAATACATTGTGTAATATCTGTAATTTTTGTAAAATTGAACTCATTCCGTTGTGTAAGCTTTTGTAGGAAGATAGGGTACTCTTTGTTTTTTAAAAAAGTGATTCCATCATAAATAAGATTATCCTAGGTCATTCTTAATAATGAAAAGTATTATTGCCCCCACCCCCCTTTGGCTTGAATATTCAGTGGTTTAGGTATCTGGCTGTGGAGCCAGAGGTTGGGAGCTCAATTCTCCATTATGCCTTCTGCAAAGCAGAGCTATCCTGTGTGGCCTTGGGCAAACTGCAAAGTCCTAGGGTTCCCCAAGAAGGGAATGGTAAACAACTTCTGTTTATTCTCTACCTGGAAAACCCTGGAAAGGGTTGCCATGTCAGAATTGATTTGATGGCACAGGACTACTATTATTATATTTCCAAAGGAATGGCTTTGACAGTCATCTCTTTCAGAAATGCCACTATGGCCTCACTAGTATGAGGAATAATTTGTTGTATGTAACATGGGTATCTGTAATGAGTTACTTCCAAGCTTTGTTCTTGATTCGTAGGAAGTAATGGGTGACCTTAAGTGTGGGGGAATAGTGACATATTTAGCATTCACAGTGTCATAGAGAAAACTTCCTCCCAAAATGTTATAAGGTCTGTACATTTCTGTCAGGGCTGAGCAGTAACACTTGATTATGTTGTAATGTACATTCTGCTTTTTTGCTTGTGGAACATCTTGAATGTGTACTGAGTCTGGAATGAAATCAGAAAATATTAAACAAAGAAAATACAAAAATGGCGTGAAAGTGACAGAGACGGCAAATAGTGTCTCTGGAAACATTGCCAAACCCAAAGTAATCAGGGACTGTGCCAGCAACCATGTCCATGTGCTGCCCATCTATAGAGAAGATGAATGAATTCTCAGTAAAGGGACACAAACCCAGTATATACCTTTGTACCACCAGACATGTGGCATGTACAATGACACCACAGCCATCAATCCAACCACTACCAACAGTATCCCCCAACACATTAAATCCCCAAGAATCCTCACAGGGCTTTCGGTCAGGTCCTCTGATGCTGTTCACAACCACTGCTTAGGAACACAACACACAGAAAAACTTCCACATAGCTGACTGGGGAGAAGGCCTGCAGGAAACCTGTGTAGCCTTCCTGGGGCATGAGATTACAGCCCAAAGAAGGAAGGATGCTTTTGCCCAGTAGTCAGGAGGAAGCCCAAGAATATGTGACAAGAAAAGCCACTGAGAAAAGGGCAAGAGACTAAGAAGCAGGATGTAGGAGTTTAAACCTCACTGGAGGCTGAGGGAGGGAAGCCCCACTCGTTTTTCATATATCAGGCAAAAACTGAAGGAATAGGAGATAAAATCCTGAGACTCTGATCCACAGAGACCTCAATCAGTCATGCGGTCTCCTTCCTCAACTGCTTTACCACATGAACTCATGTATGCATCCTTCCATTAGAAAGGCTAATGCACCCAGGTCCACCAATTTCCTTGCCTGCCCTCTGCAAAGTATCATCCAAAATTGCACTCATCCCTCCTAGAAAAAAGACTTTTTAGAAATCAGTGTTTCGAAAGTTGGGGACTCAGGGGTACTGGGGACTGCATTTGGGCCCTGCAGAAGGTAGAGCCCCCAAATCAGGGCTTCTGAGGAATGCATTTACAGTTTGGACAGGTACATATAGAAGAAGAGGGACTCTCAGATTTAGGACCACTTGACACTTGTATGTGGTAAATATGTTTGAAGCAAGCTCATCTACTTAATAAATATTTTTGGTTTTAGATTGGAATCCAGAACTATACAACAACCACAAGTTGCCAGTCACGTCCCAGCCAGACCCACAGTGATTATGGGAAACTGTTTGTGGTGCTGGTCATCATTGGATCAATCTGTGTCATCATCATTATAATGGGACTGATTTACAATTGCTGGCAGAGGCGCCTTCCCAAGATGAAGAACATGGTGAGCTCCTATATAGTATACAGGTTGGATACTTATTCTCCAAAGGCCAGAGAAAAGGGGGGAGGTGGTTGGGTCATTCCCATGTGCTCCTCTCCCTTTCTTTAGGTTTAAAAATCAAGCTTCCCGTTTCCATTTTCCTTCTTTTCTAGTCACATGGTGAGGAACTACGGTTTGTCGAGAATGGCTGCCATGACAATCCCACCCTGGATGTAGCCAGTGATAGCCAATCAGAAATGCAAGAAAAGAAACCGAGTGTGAACGGTGGGGGAGCTGTTAACGGACCAGAGAGTTGGGATGTTCTCATTAACAAGCGGCCAGGTGAAGAAGGAGAGGTGTTTGAGGAAGACACACACCTTTAAAAGAGGAGTCCTTGTGCTCTGATTGCACTCTTGCTTGACTTAAGGGCCATATGGGGAGGGTGGCTCCTCAGGAACTCATTTTTCAGGTTGGGAATGGATCTGACCATCATGGTCCCAAGGCACTATCACAGTCCTGGAGCCAGAAGGGCCACCCTGAGCAGAGGGGGTGGGGGTGGGTGGGGCGTGTTTGTGTGTTGTCAGTAGCGCCAATGCTTTAATCACGTTTAAAATGCACTTGCTCTAGTTCTTTTGTAGAAGTAGAGAATGGCCAAGTTTTGAAAATAAATGGTATCAAGGCTTAGTGCTGCCCCAGCCTTTATTGAAGGATTTGTCAGTTACAGGCCAGCTATACGCAGAAGCAACGGGGTCCGCTGTCCATCTCAAAAGGTGCAATAAGAGGAGCAATGAGGGAAACCTGTGCATCTTTCTTCTTTTAAAAAGGGAAGCAGTGGATTAAGACAGTCTTGTAATTTGTCACTTAGGCTGTTGCCTAGCACAAGAATCTACACCAAGTGGTTTGCTAGATTTTCTGTTCCATCTGCCATGTGATACACACATACAAGTGGCTTGGGCTAATGTATCTTTTTGTAGGCTGATGGGTTGTGGGTTTTTTTAACTTCTCTGTATGATTGTGTTAGCAGGCAAAGGTATTCTTCACAGGCACCAAATGTTCTGTATTGTCCTAATTCTATATTCCAACAAGGTACTGTATCTCCACCTCCCCACTTGCCATGTTCTTAGAAGTAGGAACTCCTGTGTATCAACATAATTTTCTAAAAATCTGAATTAGATCTAACCCTGAATTGATCTAGCTTGAGTGGTCTGAATTAGGAAAATGGTTTTTCTAATGCAGAATTCCTGTTGTGTCACCAAGGCTCCCAGACTGGCAGCTGGAGGGCTTAAGGGAGGAGAGTGGGCATGACACCTTATCCTGGGAGGTCCCTCTCACTTCACTTAATGGATTTACTAAACAATAAGAATGATTAATGCCCCTAGTATTGTTGGACCTATTTTGAATGAAACAGATGGGAAAGCTGAGGCCCTCTTCTGTACCATGCAGTGATTTTTGCTTTCATTCTACCTTGCTATATGCCAAGGATATACCAGTCAGAAAAAAATGAGGCTAGTTTATCAATGCCCTTGAGATTAAAGTGAAGTCCTTTGCGAATGTGTCTCTGATATGCCTTGGGCAATTCAGAATGCCCCAGGCTTCTCTGCAAGCTCTTCATGAGAAACACTTGCATGTGCAGAATGTTATCTGGCCTTCTATAGACAGTGGGGTTGATTTTGTCTAAGGATGCGATCAGATGGGCATTTAGCCTGTTGTTTGATCTTCTGCAGGGACATATTCATTCGCTCCTTTTTCTGGAAATCACACAATGTAATCACTAGAGCAGGGGTCTCAAACATGCGGCCAGGGGGCCATTTGCGGCCCGCCCGATGATAGTTTGTGGCCCCCACTTCCCTGTCCCCCCTGAAGCACCCACACATCCTCTGCTGCCAAAAATCAAAGAAAGCCTTGCCTCGCTTGCCGGCTGTCTCCCAAGACAGTGCCTCTTGCACCCTCTTTCTCTCTCGGCACCTCCAGCACCAGCCCAGCCAGTGGCCACCTCAGCGCCCGGCGGTGCTTCCTCCTCCTCCTCTTCGTCCTGCTTCAGCTGCCTCAGCTCTGGAGGCTGCCTGGGCTCATCTCACAAAGCTTGCTTCTCTGTCGTGGTGGGGGTAGCGGCTGCTGCTGAGTGCACCTTTTTTTGAGGGGGGCCTCAGAGGAAGGTTGCTGGAGCTCCGTGTGTGTGTGTGCTTGTGTGTGTGTGCACACCTGTGGGGGCGCACGCATACCTGTGGGGGCGCACGCACACCTGTGGGGGGCCCGCCCCTGCCCTGGTTTAATTTCGTGGATACCAGTGGGGACTTTTTTCCTTTGGCAAGGCAAATTCTGTGAGGGTTTTTAAAAATTTTATATCATGCCCTACTCCCCCTGACTAGGCAGTCGCCGGTGCTCCCTCCCTTCTCTGCTTCTTTATCCTGCTGCTGGTGGTGGTAGTGAAGAAGGAGCCGGAGGGGGTCATGGCCGGCGACAAGGGCTCGCGCGCCCCTCTTCTTCCTCCTCCTCCTCCTCAGAGCCCCAGCCGGGCTAAGGGAATCCCTCGGTGGCTTCCTCGGGCTCTTGCTCCGCTTAGTGGAAAATCTGATGCGGCCCAGCCTCATCCAGACTCTGCCTCCAGCGGCCCCCAGGTAAATTGAGTTTGAGACCCCTGCACTAGAGGGAACCAAACCATCTCTTGACTGTTCCCACCTGCACCTTTCTGGACATCTGTCAGGGGCTTGTGTGTGTGTGTACGTCACTGTTTTGGTTTGTTTCCAGCATGTGTTATAGTTGAAAATGAACCAAAACATGCTTTTGGCTGACAGAGTTCTTTCCACTATTATTTTGCCATATCGTGAAGTGGCTTAAGAAGAGCCATTTCCTTTACACAGCTGTGGAGGCACAGAAGAACTGAACATTTCTTTTAGAATGTAATGGAGCATGGCTGATGTACAACATCACTTATACATAAATTTTAAAACTTAGAAATTTTCCTCCTGAAAGCAGGAGGAGACTGGAGGGACAATAAGGGGCACTTTAAAAAAAAGTCTGGTCAAGAACCTACCTGCAGCCAAGTCCATGGTAAATTGGGCTCTGGACAAGCTTTTGACTGGAACTTTCAGACAAGCAGAAGAAAATGGTTGTTGTGGGTTTTTCGGGCTCTTTGGCCGTGTTCTGAAGGTTGTTCTTCCTGATGTTTTGCCAGTCTCTGTGGCTGGCATCTTCAGAGGTCCTTTGAAGACCATTAGATCCTGGTCGTGAAAGCCTTCGCGAAAGCAGAAGAAAAGTCATTCAATGCTTCTTCATGTGTCCTCCCATTTCCAGGAGGAAGTCTCGTAATTTAAAATATATTTATAACTGATTCAGCACATCAGCATTGCTCTTTTACACTCTAAAAAATTTTTTTTCACATCCTTTGTGCCAGATACTCTAATTTCTTAAGCCACTTCATAATATGTTGAATTGACAGTTGAAGGAGCTGGACCAAACAGGGTCTCTCTAGGTGCATTTGGACATGAGGATTGCACCAAATGGTTTACTGGACCTGTCCACCACACTGTTTAGACCAATCCATTCTGCTCCAATTGAGCCCTTGCAGACAAGCCCTAAGATATTTTTGACCCATTTCTTTGGAGTGTTTCCCTGTCACACACATCCAGTGACTTGTTTCACTTTGACAAAGCAACAACACGTTTTATGGTGGCATATCTAACTGAATTGTATTTTCCATTAATCATACTTGGTTTTAAAGAAAAGCATCTCTCACACACAGAAGATTCATGTATATATAATGAGAATTGACAGTGAACTTGTAATTGCAATATGTTGGCATCTAATCTGTAGTTGATTCTGAGCACTGAAATCTGATCTCTATAAAACATAAAGCAATCTTGGCAGCATTCTTTAGTTTTATATATAAATATATAAACACTGCTCAAATGTAATTTCTAAACAGTATTGTACACTTCCCCTCCAAAATTGCACACGTGGAAAGTAAGATTAATAATAGTTCCCTAGCCAAATTCCAGTTGGAGTAGATAAGGTATGAATTTTACCTTCTAGGATTGCATTTTTTCCTTGTCAAGTGAGGAGACATGTACTACCTAAACTATCTTTCACTGATGCTATTTTAGGATCCTCTACTGCCTTTTGTTATTCATTTGCTTTACTCTATGCCTCCTTTCTCTGCAAATAGAGGTCTTATCCATTTTTTTGCTGACTACCCTAGGGGCTATGGTGAGGTTAGTTGCTTCCTTGCTCATGTTTAGAAGAAAAAGCCAACCACGTTGCATTTCCCTCTTTCTGCCTCCCCAACTCTACTATTCTTTGCCCTCTTATTACCAAATTCTACTTGCTTCCCTGCAACAAAATGCCTTCCACCCTTGTGACGGGGTACAGAATATGAAATCGTTGAAAATGGCACATTCTTCATTAATCATGAGGTGGAAAAGTAAAATTAAGAGAAGGAAATATTCATGGGACTCTCTTGTACATAGTCATGATTGTCAGCCTGTTACCTTTTGCAATATAAAAATTAGCCATAGTATTTTGAGTTTTGAGTCTATCTATTAAGCTAATAAGTAAAAATAAAATCCAGTGGATGATACTCTGGGCATTAAGATGAGTAGGGTATCCCAAGACATAATTTGTCTGAGGTTTTTATGCCAACCCTCTCATTGCTCAACCTTTGGTTTGCTCCTCTGTATTTCTTGTGAACAGAAGAGCAATTTATCATAGTCTGGAAGGGAAGTGCCATATAATACTGGGGACTGAATATAATGCAGTTAGAATGAATTACAATTCTTGAGTCATGTAGAGGCAATAGAAATAACCTGGAATGCTTGGGGTTCTCCATTGTTATCACCTAACTGCAGCTGCAGATCTCTTCCACAACTTGATTGTGGATTTGGTAATTTCAGTAGCGCATTCTGTTCTTCCTTGACAACTCCTTATCACAACACAATCTCAGCTTCCTATCTTTTTGCTCTTCTGGTCTGTGGCCTGCAGCTGTTAGACCTCAGGTGTCCACAACATTCTTGCTATGTCTGTGTTTAGTATTAATCCCAAAGTTGACTTATCCTATTTATGCTAAATGGGAACCCGAGTGATCCATATCTGCTTGCATGCCCCATGGTGTTCATGTTCCACTGCACTTAAAAATTGTGTTCCATTAGTTATTGCCAGCTGGAGGGTTTGTTTGGGGGAGGCACCTACTGTGCTTACCCAGCAATTGTATATTTGCTTTAAATTGCTTCCCATGATGAATTTACATATGGTTTGGTGGATTTTCCTGTGCCAATATAGATAATATAGATATATTTGTGTGGAATGAGCTATAATGGTAGGAAGTGGATCTCCCAATGTTTGTGGCAAGCTGCAGTATGCAAACTCCTGGGCAAGTGAAAATGTTTGTTATAAGGAGATATTTCAGCGATGGTCTTTACACAGCCACCGTTTGGTTTGAGTTGGATCCGTCACTGGATGCTTGGTTTAGAACCTTCTATTAAAAATACATGAAGAAGTAACACATTACAGTGTATAAATAAAAACAAAAATGTAGTCGCTGTTAAATTACCTTGGCTATCATGAAAATTCTTTATTACATCTGTTTACGACAGTCATTTATGACAAAAACGGGTTCCTTAACTCTATTTATACACCATCAAAAGATTAAGAGGAAGAGGAGGCATTCTGTAAAGTGAAGTTGATTTGATAGAAAATATTAATTGAACTCTCAGCTGAGACCATGACATAAAATTCCTACTTTTCAGTTTCCTCTCTTGTGGGACTCTGTAATATGAAAAATGGTTGGAACTGCGACCCCACTATATTTTTTACATCATTCACTGTGTAAAAAGCCAATGTTAGTGAACTTCCCTTGTAGTAAGAATTGTAATACTATGCTTCTTTTTAATGAAGCAATCAGGCTTGCAAAAAAGCTGTTTTATTCTGAAATAATCCACATAGCATGATTTCTTGTGAGTCACACTCTTTGATGTGTTTTGGGCACAATTTTCCCCTAAGGAAAGAGACTGAAGAAATGAAATTGGAAGAGTGTGAAATAATTCCTTCAAGAACTAGCTTTTGAAAGAAAAATGCCACATTACGACTAGAACCTACAGTATTGTGAAACATCACATAGGAAATTGTAAATGTGGTTTTTGCTATTTTCTGCCAAGCTGTGGCACTCCCAATATGTCCCAAATGCACAACAGACAGCTGGAACACTTGCACATACCAGTTACACATTTTTTAGGTTTGCACTGCAGAAATCCAGTAAGATTCTGGGCTATGGTTATTAATCTTTTTAATAAATATAAAATAGTGCCTTGAATAAAGGATACAATCAAATGCATGCTATTTCCTATGTTTCCTTTTTGGCTATCAATATGTTTGATGATTTTAAAAATAATTCTAATAATAATCTCAGAACTGCAGAGCTGGAAGGGACAATAAATGCACAATTGTTGGAAACTTGGTTTTAATGTTGACATTCACGAATGGGTTATTATGCCTTTAATGGGCAAATTGGGGGGACAATAGAAATAGGCAAACCTCAAGATCTTGACATCTTGATGAGGAAAAATATTATGAAAAGCAGGTGAGGAGGGTAAGGCAGATTTGAGGCTGAAGTAATGAAGTTGGTGTGGTCAGTGTCTTGAGAGAAAAGGAGAGAAGAGGCTGAAGACTTCAAATTGAGCTCTACCAGTTTATGGTTTCAGGTTGCACCCGGGAGTCCAAACAAGATTTTTATTGTACTGTACAGTATCTAAAGCCACACTGACCTCTGGTGGTAGCTAGGAGAGGTGTAAGTGAAAGAATGTTTCCCCCCCCCCAAGCCCATTTCATGGTTTTAATAGTTTTCA